GGGGGGATCCTGGGGGAATCCTGGGGAATCCTGGGGGAATCCTGGGGGAATCCTGGGGGGATCCTGGGGGGATCCTGGGGGATCTGTCCCCTCAGCCCTGTGCCCTGCACGTCCCCAGTGCCACACGGTTGCTGTTGGGTGTCAAAGCTCGAGCTTTGGAGTTCAGCTCAGCCTGCAAGGCGATCCCAAGGGATCCCACGGATCACCCGAGGGCTCGGAGCAGAGCATGGGAGCCCACCCTGCCCTGGCTTTGGCCACCAGCCCACGCTGCTCCTCCCTGCGAGCAGGGGAGTTCCATGACCCCGGGACAGGTAGAGGAAGGTGCCAGGGGCTCCAGCATTGCCCTTTCCCAGCCACAGGGTTATTCCAGGCCTTGGGAGCTGCCTGGAGCTCCTGCTGACTCCCGGCTTGCCCAATCTGCCCAGCCCTGTTTCATCAACATCCTGTGTTTACCTGGCTGCAAAATCCCCACGAGGGAGGGAGGAAGAGGAGGGAGGGGAGCTTCTTCCCCTTCCTCTGCAGCCTGGGGAGCTTTGGACACTGCTCCGGGCTCCTCTGCGGCCCCTTGAGGACTTCAGTGACCCCTCGCTCTGCCCATGGGAGGGGAGGGGGTGTCTCAAGCCTGGCTTTGCCCCCCGAGGGGCTTTGAGCTGGGCCTGGCTGGTGCAGGGCTGGGCAAGGCGAGCTGGCTCTGTGCAGAGCCAGGGCTTTGCTCCCAGGGATGGCACTGGGAGCTGGGAATGCAGCACAGCCGGGATCCAGGCTCCTGCCTGGGATGGGGATGTGGATCAATCCTGCAGGATCCAGGCTCTAGCTGGGATGGGGATGTGGATCAATCCTGCAGGATCCAGGCTCCTGCCTGGGATGGGGATGTGGATCAATCCTGCAGGATCCAGGCTCTAGCTGGGATGGGGATCCAGATGCCTCTGGAGGAAGCAGGAGCCCACTGAGGCCCTGCACAGGGAGGAGGTGACATCCTGGGCTAGAAAAGGCCATGTCAGGGCCCCCAGACGGGATCTGAGCCTCAGCACTTTCCCCCCCCCAGCAGAGGCCGTGTCAGTGACTCCTGAGTGCTGGATCTTGCGTGTAACCCAACTTCTCAGCCCACACTGAGGAACTTGTGTCCCTGTTTACAATTTACACCCTGGTGTAGCTGAGGACAGAGGATTAGACCCCTCTGGACCTCACAGCACCTGCAGGAAAACATTTCCAGGAGGAGCAGAACCTGGGTCCAGCGTGGCCGTGAAAGGCTCCTCAAGGTGCTGGTGGTCTCCAGACGTGGAGCTGCATCTCCTCAGGGTCAGCATGGGAGGCTGGGGCTGGTGCTGGGGTTTTTGGGCTGGTAAATCAGAGCAGGCCCTGCTTGCTGGTGGTGTAGGTGGGTTGGGAAGTGGGACTGTGCTCTCATGGGAGAAGCCTGAGGGCAAGGAGCTGGTGGTGGGACCTCACTTTCTGCTTTTGGTCCCAAAAATGGATCTGGAAAAGGACTGGAAGACATGAAACCTCATATGTGGAGTTCAACCCCAAACCTACAAGAAAGGATCACTGATGGGGTCATCCCCTTGGAGAGGGATCCAGCCTTGGATGGGGCTGGGACTGGCCTCCTGGGAAAGGGCCAAACACGGTTTTGGTGAGGAGGGAGAGCCCAGACAGAGCAGTCTCAGGGGAACAAACAGTGGGGGCCTCCTGGGAGTTCCCAGGACTCTGTTTTGGGCTGCAGGATGAGGTCACTGTCAGTGGCTGGCATGGGGGCTCAGGCCAGGATCGTTTACAGAGGTGTGAACCATTAACAAATTAATCATCAGGGCCAGCATAGCTGGAAGTTATTTGCCTCCCTGGGCCCTATAAAAGGATGTGGAGGGCATTTCTTGGGTTTGGGCCGCTGAGGAGGGAGTGTTCTGCCTTGTGGCTGTGTCTTGGACCTACTCCTGAGATCCTGCTGCTCCCTGGGATGCACCAAGAGAAGAGGTGAGCTGTCCTTCTGTATGGTGGCTGCTCCTTCCCTGTCACCAGGAGAGGCTGGAGCTGTCCAGATCCACCTGGAGCAGGCACTCGGTGCCCAGCTGGCAGCAGGTCTCGTGTGCTCCATGGCTGTGGTGTCCTGGGGCCTCACTGTGGTCACCAACACACCTGGGGGTAACTCTGGGACCTGCTGGGTGCCCTCATGCGGGTCAGGCTCTGCTTTAAGCTGTGGGAGGAATGTTTTCTGCTGAATCCTGCTGTGGAAATGTCTGATGGCCACTCCTGGGATGAGCAGCTGCGTCTGGCCTCTAATCTTCATCCTTGGCTGTGGAGAGGGCGAGGTCCCCGTGCTAAAGTTTCCTAGGTAGGCTGGTGCTGCAGCATGGATGGGAGTGGGGAATGCTCTGCCAGCTCTGGAGGGTCCTCAGAAGCCATTCCCAGACCCCTGAAGCTGGAAAACACCCCCGTGTTGCGTTCTGTCAGCACAGGGGGTCACGGCACCGCCGTGATTCGCACGGGACACAAATGAAAAGGGTCCCTTTAACGGGAAGTTCCAAAGCAGGCGGGCAGGAGGTGTGGGGTTTGGGTGTGGAGGCTGTTTGCTGTCTGTGTTTGCCATGGGGGGAGACTCCTCAGCCTCGGCTGGTGGAGTAACCACCCATGGGCAGGGGAGCTCCGAGGCTCCCCCAGGGCTCGTTTGAGGGGAGCCGGGAATTTGGTCACATCCAGGCACAGCCTGGGGCCTGAACTGAGTCCAAGAATCTCCCCCTCAACAGGAGCATCTGTTATTTTTCTAGGAATTAAAAAGAAAACCCCACCCCAGCAGCCTGTGCCGCGTGCGTAGGTGAGGGGACCGTGCTGTCACCGCCGTGAGTCACCCGGGGGGAGCTGCGATTCCCGGGAGCGAAAAAATAAACGTGGGGAGAAATTGTGAATGATGGGTGACTGAGCTCTCCACAGGGCTAGTCAAATTTCTGTTCCTCCTTAGGGCTGGCTGGTTAACAAAGAAGTTATTAATAACCAATTAAGCCACAGCTCACGTCACGCCTTCCTCTGGAAGTGTGGCAAGAGCGGCCCTGGTTCCTCCTTCGGCTCTGAATCCACCCTGCTGCCTTGGGGGGGCTTTGGGGAGGTGTCCCCTCCTTGCAGGGCTGCTGGAGGGGGGGACATGCCCAGGTGACAGCTCCCAGGGCTGTGGGGGACATGCCCAGGTGACACCTCCCAGGGCTGTGGGGGACATGCCCAGGTGACACCTCCCAGGGCTGTGGGGGACATGTCCAGGTGACATCTCTCAGGGCTGTGGGGGACATGCCCAGGTGACATCTCCCAGGGCTGTGGGGGACATGCCCAGGTGACAGCTCCCAGGGCTCTGGGGGACATGCCCAGGTGACATCTCTCAGGGCTGTGGGGGACATGCCCAGGTGACATCTCCCAGGGCTCTGGGGGACATGCCCAGGTGACATCTCTCAGGGCTGTGGTGACCTGAGGCTGAGGTATTTTGGCTGAGCTGCTGGTGGGAGAAGGAACCGTGCGTGGCAGGAGTTTGGGCAGTGCCAGGGCAGATGGTGACAGCCGTGGGGACACGGAGGGAGGAGGAGGAGGAGGAGGAGGTTCCCTCGCTGGGGATGTGCACGGTGCCACATCCCGGGCAGCGCAGGAGGCGGAGGGGCCGCTGGAGCGGAGCTCCGGATGCGCCACGAAAGGCCAGAGAGAATCCGGGCACTGTGCTCCTCCTGAAGCCTCCATTCAGGGCCCAGACGGGCAGGACAAGAGGGAGGAAGCGGAGGGGAGAAGGAGCACTGAAGGGCTCTGTGTGTGTGGCCGGACGGATGCAGGTGCAGCTGCGGATCCCTGGATGCTCCACGCTGCCCTTTCCTGCACTCCGGAGTCCCCCCAGAGTCCCCAGCCCCGCTGTCACTCTGATTTATTCCACACTCTCCACTGCTGCCTTTTCTTCCTTTAGGTCTGTGTGGATTCTCTGAAGTCTCATGCAGGGTTGGGCTGTCCCTCATTGCTCTGACCTCTCTCCTCAGCTGAGTATCTGCAGGAAATGTTTGCTAATTAAATAGCTGTGAAAACTCTGCCCAGCCTGTCATCAGCTGGGGCTGAAATGAGACTCAGAGGATACACGGGAGAATCCACACACGTGGCCTTGCCTGTCCCTGTGTTTCCTGTATCCACTTGGAAAACCAAGCTGAATAAAGCTGCAGTTTGGTGGCAGAGCCCTGTCAGGGCTCTTGTCCTGAGTGGAGATTTTTCACCTGTGCAAGGCAAGAGGAAAAACCGAGTGCAGATTTTTTTTATTTTTTAGGAAGCCACAATAAAAGTGATGAATTCCTCCCAGGGGCTGTGTTGGGTTGTGATTTCTGACACAGCTGTGGCAATCCAGGGTAATTTCAGTGAATTTCACTCCAGATATCTGTGTGTAAATGAGAGCAGGATCTGGCCTGTGTTAGAGGAACACTGCCCAGGGGTTTGCTCCAAGATGTGTGCTCTCGCTTTCTGCTCTCTTAGCAAATGCAGCACTCCTAGGAGGGCAATTCTGCATCTTAAATAGAAAGCCAAGGCACTGCTTTCTCTTGAAGTATTCCTGTAGAGCTGGAAACAGCATTTGCTTCAAAGGAAGAATTTGAGATCCCCAGGAAAATGGGGACCTGAGCCCCCTCCCTGTGAAGCTGATGGCAAAGGAACAGTGTTGCTCTGACAGGGCTGATGATGTCAGGCACTAACATTAGCACAGGTAATAAAAACCCTCCCCATGTAGGTGTGTTTGGCACAAGATGCAGCAGCAAGCAAAAGCATTTGGCAAAATCCCGTAAAATATTTGTTTCTACACCGTGTTCCTTCCAGCATCTGAAATGCAGATTCGTCATCTTCCTTCCTCCCCTCTCTTCCTCCCTCAGGCTGAAAGAGGAACTGGGTTTGGGTTTTGCTGGGTTTTGGGCTTTGCTCTGGGGGGCTGGTGGTCACTACAGGCTGAGCAGCTGGTGGAGCTGCTGATGAGGGGGCAGCAGGGCACGGTGGTGTGTTACCTTTGCCATTTTAATGTTACCCAGTGATGTCCTGCTGTGCTGCAGAAACTGGGATTTCAGAGCCATTTCACGTCAGGGGGGTTTAGGTGTTGGTTATGAGGAAAAGGTTCTTCCCCAGAGGTGCTGGCACTGCCCAGGCTCCCCAGGGAATGGTCACAGCCCCGAGGCTGCCAGAGCTCCAGGAGTGTTTGGACAATGCTCTCAGGGACTGTTGTGGGATTGCTGGGGTGTCTGTGCAGGGCCAGGAGTTGGATCAATGATCCTTGTGTGTCCCAGCTCGACATACTCCATGACTGAGCCTCTGGCATTGCCTGGGAGCTGGAGGCACCACAGGGCACAGGATGCCTTGGAAGGGCTCAGAGGAGCATTAGGGGCAAGAATTTGATCGTGGGCAAGCTCCAGCTCCAAGTGGAGGGGACAATGTGGAGGGCCAGGTGGCTGGAGGAGCTCAGGAAACCTCTGGAGCAACAGGAACATTCTGGACTGGGTGCAAAGGACTGGAATCTCTTGTGGGAGACGCTCAAAAACAACTTGAGCAGGGGCTACAGCCCCTCTCCAGGGTGGGCACCTGTGTCTTCTCCCTCTGGAAACCAGGTTAGCACAAATCCTATATCCTAACCTGATACCTGCTTGCTGCTCCCTCAGCTGGGATCAGGAATGCAGCCTCCAGTGGTTTGCAGCTGTGCTGTTCTTGGCTCCCCGGGGCAGAGACAGTTCAGTAAATCATTTTAGCATATGTTTAAATCGCCCTGAGCACCCCTGGGTGCCGAAGGCTTAGGGAAAGTGCCAAGTGTCTGCAAGGCTCAGGGGAGGCTTTAGGCTTGAGGGTGGAACACGTGCCAGTCCATGGGGAGTCTGGGGAAAGGAGCTCCACAGGGATGGAGCTTTTGGGAGAAACCCAGGAGGGCTGGGGAAAACAGCACGTGGCTGCTGCTCTCGGCCTCTGCTCTGCAGGATGATAAACATGAAGGTCTGGAGCCAATGTGTGGGAAGATAAGAACATCCATCCTGCTTAAAACCAGGTGTCCAGTCCAAAATCTGAGCACTGGCAGTGTTTATAGCAAATGTTTGAGGATAATGGGAGGATATAACTGGAGGGGGACTTTTCACAGGGGTGTGTGGTGATAGGATAAGGGGGAATGGCCTTAAGCTGCAGGAGGGCAGGGTTAGATTAGATATTAGGGGGAAATTCTTCCCTGTGAGGGTGGGGAGGCCCTGGCACAGGTTGTCCAGAGAAGCTGTGGCTGCCCCTCGATCCCTGGGAGTGTCCAAGGCCAGGCTGGACAGGGCTTGGAGCAACCTGGGATAGTGGAAAGTGTCCCTGCCCATGGCAGGGGGTTTGGGCTGGATGATCTTTAAGGTCCCTTCCCACCCAAACCATGATGATACTCACTGATAAGTGAGTGAGCAGACAGAATTGCACACCGTGTTCTCCTTGGATTCAGGAATTCTGGGCACCTCCCAAACTGGAGCTGTGTCTGCAAGATGCATCTTGAAAGAGGCACTGGTTGAGTGACAGCATCTCCAGTTCCCTGCCTCCCCCCAGGCTCTGATCTCAGAGCAAAACAAGAGGTCCTGCCCTGCCTGGAGGGAAAACATCGGAGTCTCACGTTTCTCTCTCCAGGGCAAGCTGGAAAAGCTGATGCAGACACTCTGGAAGGCGCCTGTAATGAGGAACAAGGCACAGGGTGCTGTGTGGAAGTGCCTGTCAGTTTGCATTTGAGGGTCAGTCGGTGGCTTTGTGGAGGAAATGGCCTGCACAGCCCAGCCCTTCCTCCCCGAGTGCTGGAGATCCTGCTGAGCACAAAGAACTCCTCAGCTGAGCTGTGCAGGTGCCACAAACCCTTCTTCCAGCCCACTGCTGACACATGTGGGGTTTTCATGACATCAGGCATTTTGGGCTTCTTTAGTTTTCACCCCTCCTGGATTGGATTATTCAGCTGATGTTTCACCAAAGGCCACTCTCAGTACTGCTAGAATCTGTTGTGGTTTTGTGTGGTTTGCACCCCATACCCCTCCCAAAATGCTCTGAGTGACGTGGGAAGCATCTTGAGGGACAGAGGAAACTTGCTGTCTGTAGCAACTCGCTCTGCAGTTATTTTGATTGAGGTTATTGTGGTTTGTGCCCCAGAAAAAATGGGGCTGTGCACAGCCAGTTCCCAGCAGCGCTGATGCTTGCCTGTCACCTTCTCCTATCAGAGATGTTTGATTTCTAAAAATCACAAGGCAACAGACCCCTTTGACTTCCTCTCGTGTTCACAGGGTCAGGGAGCAGTCCTGTATTTCTCCATCTCAGTCCGTAAGAATGTGGAAGCTCGTAGGAGTATTAATTACAGCCAATTATAACCTGCTTGACTGGCTAAGGTGCTCAAATGGCTCCTGAGACTTGCTGTTGTTGAGGAGGGACATTTTCCTTCCACCAAGTTTTCGAGGTGCCCAGAGCAGGGCTGATCCATGGAGCAGCTTGGCTGGATAGTGATAGGATTGAACACGTTCTGGAGGAATTCTTGCCTGCAGTGCTGTGAAGTTTGTTTGCTTTGTGGAGCCCCGATGGCTTGTCATGAATCTCTTCCAGCCCAGCTGGTGAATTTTTTTAATCTGCTTGTTTATTACACAGGGACCGTGTATTTACAGCTCTGCAGCGTTGTTTAGGGTTTTTTACAGGGTGAAAGCTTCTGGGAAGCCCCATTGAGGATGAGATGGGGCAGCAGGGACAGGTTTGGAGTCACAACCGTGCATGCAGATATGAAAGTTTCAACTGGCTCTGTGAGCCTGGGAATGGAGGAAGTTACTTGCAAGAGTGGGAATCAGAAACCCAGAAATTGGGCCAACTAATTAAGTGACTGGCTGGGTGCTGTGCAAACACAAACCAAACAGACAGCTCTCAGTTTTCATCTGTCAAGGGGGAAAGCTACCAGCTTTTCATTGATGGGCATCCAGCTGTAATCCAGGGCTGTGGCAGCACTGTTCCAGCCTCTCTGTTTAAAAGACACAAAATACCTGCAGCTTCCAGCACTTGCTCTACTTTGGGGGGTCACATCTTTGTGTCTGAGAGCAAGGCTCTGAAATTTGAGCTAAAACTGGCTGTAGCTGTGCTGCTCAGCTCCCAGGGCTGGAGCTGAGGTGGCTTTCCAGGCATCGGATGTTCTGGGAGCAGAGCCCATGTGAAAGGAGCTCCAGTTGTCCCCGTGATGCCCCAACTCTCTGTGAGCACCACACTGTGTGACAATGCTGATTTCAGTGTTGGTGCCCCTGATTCACCCCAGGTAAGGGGTGGATGAATTGCTGCATCCGATTCCTGTGGGGAATGTGGCGCTTTCTGGGGTTTTGTGCTTAAAAATGGAACTCCTTGTGCTGGACCACGTCCTCTGCCAGCAGTGGCCAAGTGGGTGCTTGACTGTAGGTACACATCATTTCCCCTCCTTCTACAAGTGTACAAAGTCTTTTGTCACCGTTTCCAGCCAGGACCAGCCAAAAATCCCTGTCCCAGCAGGAGAGAGGAGACCCAAATCCAAGAGGATTCTGCAGAGCCATGAGCGTAACTCCTGACACATTCCTCAGGGCGTTTTCCCTCAAGGTTAGAAACAGCTGGGAGGAGTGAGGACAATCCCTGGCCACGTGAGATCCTTGTGCAACTGCCCAGGTCATCCTGCAGTTGGGAAGTTATTATGGAGCCTCTATCAGCCCGAGGATGGGCCTGGGGCAAAAGGGAGGGTCTGACTCTCAGGGTGACATTCTTTGGGTGGCTGCAGGAATGAGGAGGAGGAATTCTGTCCATCAGCTCCATCCTGGCAGGAAGTCCTCTTGTTGTGACAAGGAGGAAGTGAAGAGGGATAGAACAAACTGTACCAAGCAAAAGGGAATGCCTGTCCTCCAGCAGGAGCTCACAGGCTCTGCCTTGGTGACTTGCTTTGGGGAACCAGATGGTGACAATAAATAAGCCTGACTTTGCTGGGCCTGAGCCTGCCACTCCAAACTGTGCAGATGGTCCTAATGGGTGAGTGCTCCCAGCCTGGAAACAAGCAGCAGATCCAGGCTCTTTAGGTCAAATGTGTTCCTTGTGTCCTATAAACCTAGAAAAATACCTTGTCAGCAGTCGGTGTGGCCTTGCATGGCCCTGTCCTCTCTCTGCTGCTGATGTGGGTGCTGATCTGAGCCTCTGGTGAGCTGGTTCAGGGAGCTGAACTGGCTGAGAAGCAATGCTCCCCTCCAAAAAAAGTGATTAATCTTCACCACAGGTGGTATAAGCCGGTGCTGGTGGCAGGGAGGGAATGGGAAGGGGTGGTGGAGGAAGGGCAGGAACCACAACAC